AAAAAAAAAAAAAAAAAGTTCAACATACCATACATTCATACTATGGAATATCACTCAGCAATAAAAAGGAACAAAGTAAGCCAGCTGTGGACGCACACCTGTAATCCCAGCACTGAGGAGGCTGAGGCAGGATGATCACCTCAAGTTCGGGGCCAGGCTGAGCTACATACTACAAGGTCAGCCTGAAATACATACCAAGCCACTGTATCAAAAAGTGAAACAAAAGGTTATGCATGCATAATGTCATTTATATGGCATTCCACTCAAACTGACAAAATTATAAGAGATGGAGAACAGTTTAATCATTGACAGGGGTTATGGATGGAGTGGAAGATGGAATGGGAATGGGTCTGACTATAAAAGGTGTATGTGCAAGGAAACTTCATAGTGATACAATAAATAACTCTGTATTTTTTTTTCTGGTTGTTGTTGTTGTGCTGGTGGTGGTGGTGGTGGTAAGGAATCAAACTCGGGGTCTCCAAAATGTTAGCCAAGTGCTCTACTACTGAGCTACACTCTAGCTATATTACTCATTGGTTGGTTTGTTTGTTTGTTTAACCCAGGGCCTTGCACACTGTAGATAAATGCTCAACTACTGAGCTATATCTTGATTGTGGTATTGGCAATAGGCATTGACACATGTGCTGAAATTGTATAGAAATACATGCAGAGACACACAAAGGAATGCATGCAAAACTGTTGAATTCTGAATAAGGTCTATGAATTGTGGCAACACTGATTTCCTGGTGTTGACATTGCACTATAGTTATGTAGGATGTTGTCACTGGGGGGACACCAGGTAAAAGGTGCACAAGACTGCTTTGTAATGTTTTGCACTATCTTGTTGGGGTTTTTTTGTCTATGCAGCTCAGGCTGGCTTTGAGCTCACGTTGTAGCCCAGGCTGGTCTCGAATTTGCAATGATCCTCCTGCTTCAGCCTCCCGAGTGCTGGGAACAGCAACTTCTATCACTAGTAAGCATTGTGTGCCTACAAAGTTGTCTAAAAAAACGAAGTAGATTTGCAGGTAGCAGTCAACAAACTATTTACAAATATTTCCACAATCACCAAATACATCTTCATTAGGAGAAGGGGCCCTAAGGACTCTAAAATAGCCTTCATGGATATAGAAGACATCCGTGGAGAGAAAAATGTACAAACGTCATTCTGATACTAACTGGACATAGGAAAACAAATCTTTTCCCTCAGTAGACAAAACTACGAATGAGTCTTGGTCAATTAAGAGCCTGTATTTGTCACTTTTGTGTTGCTACACAAAATAAAGATGAACAAAGAAGTTTATTTGGCTCAGGAGTCTGGCGGCTGGAAAGCCCAAAACAGCATAGTGTTTGCATCTGGTGAGGGCCCCTGGCTGCATCACAACTTGGCGGAGAACTAGAAAGGAAATCAACTGCCTGCACAAGAGGCCAAGGGCATGGCCGGCCTTGTTTTGTAACAGCCGGCTCTCTCAAGAACCAGTCCAATCCCACAAGTCACCAGCCACTTCCAGGAGACTCCAACAGTTTACTCATAAATGTAGAGCCCGTGTGACCTAAGAACCCCCCTCAAGGCCCCAGAGGTTCAGCATTCCCCCACTTCCACACCATCACCATGGGGAATTAAGCCTCAGCAGAGTTCTGACAGGGAGAGAGCCCTCCCCTTCAGCCGCCACCTCCTTCCAGGTCCCTCCAACCCCACTGAGCACTGAAAAATCTGATCCATGGTGAGGCAAGTGAATCAAATCCACAGAAAGACAGAAAAAGAAAGAGTCATTTCATAGTCAATTATTTTCACTTCCTCTCTTCACCATGATTTTTAAAATGATATTTTATTATATCAAAGTAATATATGCACATATTTTTAAGTCAAAGAGTCTTTATAAGACACATTGGTTAATTTTAGGTGCCAACTTGACTGGATTAAGGAGTATCTATCAAGAAACCAAGAAGAGCATTATTCTGAGTATGTCTGTCAGGATGTACCCTGAGGAGGCTGACACGTGGACCTGGGTAGCCTAGGTGGGGAAGGACCTCCCTCAGTTTGGTTGGGCACCATCTAATTGGCTAGGGGCCCAGAGAGAACAAGTCTGGGTAAGCTGGTCTCTCTCCCTGAGAGCTGCAACATGCTTATCTCCTGCCTTGGACATCAGCAGTCCAGACTCTCTGGCCTTTGTACTTTGGGACCTACATCACCCTCCCTGAGTTCTCTGGCTTTTATCCTCAAATTGAGAGTCGTACAAGCAGCTTCCCTGATTCTGAGGCCTTCAGACTTGGCCTGAAACAGGCTACCAGCATTCCAGGGTCTCTAGCCTGCACATAACCTGTTGGAGGACTTCTCAACCGGCATATCACATAAGTGAATTCCCTAAAAAATTCCCTCTCACATAGCTATACACACAGCCCACTGGTTCTGTCTTTCTGGAGAGCACTGGCTGATGCATAAGACCTCCACTATGCAATGGCAGGCCTTCCTCTGCCACATCTCAGACCATTTCTGTAATGTCTTTCAACTCTTTTTGCTATATTTTCTGATACCTTCCTCCACATTTCTAGACAAGATTGCTATACAGGAATGTGATTTTTTTTAAGTTCAGATATCTTCTCCTAACATCTTACTTCTGACCAAAAAAAAATCTAGATTTTTTTGTACTTCTATGTCTAGGAAACAACCCCATGTGATTCACACTAAGCAGACACACACACACACACACACACACACACACACCCTTCTTCCCTGTCTCCCTATAAAGTTTTCTTTTTAAATGAACATTTAACATTTGCATAACAACAACTTTATAAATTTACTACTTTCACCTAAGCCGTTTCACCTTGAATATTCACTAGACTTAACACAAGGTAGGATCAAAAAGTGGAGTGAGAGTCTAATTTTTAAAAAATTTATTACAGTAAAAGACATATTCCCATTAATTCTCAAAATACTTCCCCTCTGCTTTGAATACACTTATCCCTTCACTCTTGTCACTTTCTGAAGCAGCTCTGGAAGTCTCTTTCATGGTGACCTAGTTGCTCTATCGTGGCTGCCTCAGTGTCCTGAATCAATTCAGAATGTTTACTTTCCGTGGTCAGTTTGACCTTGGGAAGACCCAGGAGTCCCATGGCATCATATCGGGTGGATGAGGTCCGTGAGGACACACTGTAACATTTTTACAGGCCTGCTTTCTTATTGGATGGCAGCATTCGCTGTATTTTTTATCACGCTTTGTGAAGATACAAAACCACAGTGCCCAGCACCAGCCCTTCTTATCTTGAAAGGTCCCACAGTGTTTCTCAGGTTGGCCTCAGATTTGCCATCCTCCTGCCTCAATCACTGGAGCCACTGGGATTACCCGCACGCATCACCATGCCCAGCTGAGTTCATTTCTAGATTAGCTAATGTAGTTTTTCCCCTGTTGCTGTGTTAAGGATTAAACTCAGGATCTCACACACGCTAGTCTTACTGAGGTACATTCCCAGTTCTAGCTAATGCATTTTGCTGTGCTAGAGCTTTTCTTTTCTTTTTCTTTTCTTTTTTTTTTTTTTTTGTTTGTTTGTTTGTTTGCTTGCTTGCTTGTCTTTTGTTTGTTTGTTGAGACAGGTTCTCATAACGTAGTCCAGGGTGGGCTTGAACTTGCTATACAGCCCAGGCTGGCCTCAAACTCAGGATCGCCCCACCTCAGCCTCCTGATTGCTAAGATTAACAGTTTCTTGAGGCTAAACATTCCTTTTTAGAATATCGTATATTTCATGGATTCAAAAATCTATTCACTTGAATGTCTCTTTTTTTTTTGGTACTGGGGATCGAAGAGTGTCTGTTTTCTTAAAGCTTCTTTCTTTTCTTTCTTTCTTTCTTTCTTTTTCTTTCTTTCTCTTTCTTTCTTTCTTTCTTGCTTGCTTGCTTGCTTGCTTCCTGTCTTGCTTTCTTTCCCTTCTCATGCTAAATGTCTTACCCAAGTCCCTTAAGGACCTAGCTTGACCCTCACATGTACAACAAGGGCACTGTAAAAGTAGCTGTGAGCTAAGAACTGGGTCTCACTGCTTAGTGACCACACTGGGACGCAGCTGCCTGGGTTCTCCATTGCCCACAGCTGTGAGTCTTTCCCTTGGGTTAGCTGCTTTCCTAAGAGAGGACTCATCTTATTTCTAAATCTAAATACCAGTCTTCTGAGAGTTGAGTCACAGAAAGAGGCAGAAATTGCATCACTAATTTGCAAACTTGGGGCTGGGGATTTAGCTCAGTGGCAAAAGCGCCTGCCTGGCAAGCGCAAGGTTGTGAGTTCGGTTCCCGGTACCGGAGAAAAACCAAAAAAAAAAAAACAAAAAACAATTTGCAAACTTGCCT